TCTTTGGCGAAAAACATTCTTCACATGGTGTTGTGAGCCCACTTTGGTTCTCCTCAAATTCTCTGTTCTGTCTGTCTTCCTGGTTGAATCCTCTCCTCTTCCTCATTTCTGAATATTGGAGTGCTCCGTGACTCAGCCCTAGGGCCCCTTTCCTAGCTGCACTCACAAGTGATCTCACTTCATTTTCTCCCATAGTTGTAAATTCCAACTACACATGTGCACCTGTGTATATATTTGTATGCCAGCTTTCCATCTTCAAACATGGCCTTTCTCTTGAAACCCTGGTGTTTATGTCCAACTGACTGTTAGATTTCTCTACTTAGATGTCTGATAGGAACGTCAAATTCAATATGTCTAAAACCAAATCCTTGATTTATTTCTTTCAGATCTGTACCTCCTCCCAGTGTTGTCCTTCTCAGTAAATGGAATCACTGTTCATTTGATTGCTCAGGTCATAAATCTTGCAGTAAAACTTTACTCCTTTCTTCCAATCCATTGTCTGATCCTGTAGGCTCTACCATCAAAATATATTTCGAATATGCCAACTTCTCACCACCTCTGCAATAACAGCTTTGTCCAAGCTACCATTATGCCTTACCTTTACCACTGCAATAGCCACTGTACTGGTCTCCAGAATTGCCCTTTCTTTCTACTTCTTAGTCAGTCAGACCTTCTTGATATGGCCCCTGCAATCTCAATAAATTCATCTTTTACTTCATTTCTCTCCTGACTGCATGCCAGGCTCACTGCCTTTCTTGGTGGTCCTGGATCATGCAAAGTACACTGCCCTGCCCCTTTAAGGCACTTGTATCTGCTCTGTCCTTTGTCTAAGATGTTTGGGGCTTACTCCCTCACTTCATTCAGGTCTCCGCTTAAGTGGCATTCCTTGGAAAGGTCTTCCCTAAAGTCCCCAACCCTGTCTCTCTTTATCCTCTTTTTTTTTTATTGCATTTTAGGTTTTGGGGTACATTTGAAGAACATGCAAGATAGTTGCATAGGTACACACGTGGCAGTGTGATTTGCTGCCTTCCTCCCCTTCACCTATATCTGGCATTTCTCCCCATGCTATCTCTCCCCAACTCTCCACCCCCCACTGTCCCTCCCCCATTTCCCCCCAACAGACTCCAGTGGGTAGTGCTCCCCTCCCTGTGTCCATGTGTTCTCATTGTTCAACACCCGCCTATGAGTGAGAATATGTGGTGTTTGATTTTCTGCTCTTGTGTCAGTTTGCTGAGAATGATGGTTTCCAGGTTTATTCATGTCCCTACAAAGGACATGAACTCATCATTTTTGATGGCTGCATAATATTTCATGGTGTATCCTCTTACTTGGCTTCATTTCTTCATAATATTCATCCTACCTGGCATTATACAGGTATACTTCAGAGATATTATGGGTTCAATTTTAGACCACTGTAATAAAGCAAATATCACAATAAATCAAGTCACACAAATTTCTCGGTTTCCCAGTGCATGTAAAAGTTATGTTCACACTATACTGTAGTCTTTAAAGTGTTCAATAGCATTATGTCTAAACAAACAATGTACATACCTTAATTAAAGAATATGTTATTGCTAGAAAATGCTAATGATCATCTGAGCTGTCAGCCAGTTGTTGGAATCTTTTTGCTGGTGGAGAGTCTTGCCTTGATGTTAATGGCTGATGACCGATCAGGGTGGTGGTTGCTGAAGGTTGGGGTGGCTGTGGAAATTTCTTAAACTAAGACAACAATGAAGTTTGCTGCATCAATGGACTCTTCCTTTCATGAAAGATTTCTCTGTGGCATGTGATGCTATTTGATAGCATTTTACCCACAACAGAACTTCTTTCAAAGTTGGAGTCAATCCTCTGAAACCCTGCCACTGCTTTATCAACTAAGTTTATGGAATATTCGAAACCCTTAGTTGTTATTCAATGTTATTTCAACAATGTTCATAGCATCATCACCAGGAGTAGATTCCCTCTCAAGAAATCACTTTCTTTGCCCATTCATAAGAAGCAGCTCCTCATTCATTCAAGTTTTATCATAAGATTGCAGCAATTCAGTCACATCTTCAGGCTCTACTTTTCATTCTAGTTCTCTTGCTGTTTCCACTACATATACAATTACCTCCTCCACTGAGGAAAGACATCCTCAAAGACATCCATGAGGATTGGAATCAACTTCTTCCGAGTTCCTGTTTTAATGATTTTTTGACATCCCCCCATTAATTACAAATGTTCATAATGGCATCTAGAATAGTATTATTTCCAAATGATTTTCGATTTACTTTGTCCAGATTTGTCAGAGGAATCACTATCTATGGCAGCCTTTACCTTACAAAAACATTTTTAAAATAAGACTTGGAAATCAAAATTACTCCTTCATTCATGGGCTACAGAATGGATGCTGTGTTTATAGCCATAAAAACAATATGAATCTCCTTGTACATCTCCATCAGAGCTCTTGAGTGAGCAGGTATATTGTAAATCAGCAGTGATATTTTGAAAGAATTTTTTTGTGTATGAGAAGTAGGTCTCAACAGTGGGCTTAAGATAGTTCATAAACCATGCTGTAAACAAATATGCTGTTGTCCAGGCTGGATTGCTCCATTTATAGAGCACTGGCAGAAAGGAGGTTCAGCATAATTCTTAAGGGCCCTAGGATTTTCAGAATGGTAAATGAGCCTTGGCTTCAATTTAAAGTCACCAGCCATATTAGCCTGCAATAAGAATGCCAGCTTGTCCTTTGAAGCTTAGAATCCAGGCATTGACTTACCTTCCTTAGCTATCAAAGTCCTCAATGTCATCTTCTTCCAGTAGAAGGCTGTTTCAACCACACGGAAAATCTGTTCTTTAGTGTAGTCACCCTCATCAATGATCTTAGCTAGATCTGGATAACTTGCTGCAACTTCTACATCAGCACTCACTGCTTCATCTTGGGCTTTTATATCATGGAAATGAGTTCTTTCCTTCCATCTCATGAACCAACCTATGCTAGCTTCAAACATCTTTCTGTCGCTTTCTGATTTCTCTCAGTCTTCATGGAATTAACCAGAGTTAAGGCCTTACTCTGGTTTAAGCTTTGCCTTAAGAAGATGTTTTGGCTGGTTTAATCTTCTATCCAGACCACTCAAACTTCCTTCATATCAGCAAGAAGGCTATTTGGCTTTCTTATCATTTGTGTGTTCACCAGAGTAGCACTTCTAATTTCTTTCAAGAACTTTTTCTTTGCTAACAAACTTGGCTAACTGTTTGGCTCAAGGAGCCTAAGTTTTGGCTTAGCTCAGCTTTTGACATACCTCCCTCACTATGCTTAATCATTTCTAGCTTTTGATTTTAAGTAAGAGATGTCTAATTTTTTCACTTGAAAACTTAGAAGCCATTGCAAGGTTAATAATTGGCCTAATTTCAATATTGTTGTGTCTCAGGGAATAGGGAGACCTGACAAGAGAGAGAGAGATGGGAGAACAGCCACTTGGCGGGCCAATCGGAACACACAACACTTATTGATGAAGTTTGTTATCTCATATGGGTGCAATTTGTGACACTCCGAAACAATTATAAAGTGATATCAAAGGGGGTGCAGGAAGCACTGAGGAACCAGGGGGAGGCCAGAGCCTCAACCAGCTCTAGGTCAGCCGGGTCGACTGATTGAAGAGGTTCCCCTGGTTCCTCAGTGCTTCCCGTACCCTCGAAGGTTATATATCACAGATCACCATAACAGATAAAATGGCAATGAAAAAGTTTAAAATATTGTGGGAATGATCAGAGACATGAAGTAAGCACATGCTTTTGGAAAAACAGTGCCAGGAGACTTGTTTGACACAGGATTGCCACAAACCTTCAATTTGTAAAACAACAACAAAAATAGTATCTGCAAAGTATGCAATGAAGCAAACCACAACAAAATGAGGTAAGTCCTATATATTTATGTAATTTATCTCTTTGCAATTAGAATTCAAGCTATGAATTCTATGAGGGCAGGGACTTTACAGGTTTTGTTCACTCCCGTATTCTCAGGACCCCAAACCATGCCTGACAAATAATAGGTGCTCAGTAAATATTTATTGAATGAATTAATAAAATTTGCTTATGAGTTTCAGATGGAATAAAAGCAGGATATAAGACAATTTTGAAGTCTTTTCAACACCTTAACATTATGCTTAGAATTTTTTAAAAACTGCATTCTCACGTACAGTATTTTCACTGGTTTTCCCTAAAACGCCATGAACTTTACTAGAAATCTCTTAGGTGTAAGTAGAGAAGATGTGATGAAGGTTATAGTTATTAAAGTCACAATAACTATTGATCTTTTAAAAACATGCATGAGATCATGTTGCTTCCCTGCTAAAAGTCTCTAGTGGTTTTTCATTGCACTTTGACTTATATTAAAATTCCTTCTCAAGGCATTTAATCTGCTCCAGCCGACTTGTGAACCTCATCTTGTCTTCCTTATTTTACCTCCCCACCATCTCAGCAGTCTTCTTTGTGTTCCAACACTGTGTGAACCAGCACCAGGCTGGTTCCTGCTAAAATGCCTTAGTACTTACTGAACACTTCCCACTCACTTCACCACACAGCTGGTTTCTTATTCAGAGATCAAAGTCTAAACCCCAAGGTGCCTTCCATGATCAATCTGCTAACAACAATATGAGTTGCTCCCTCCGCACACCCCAGGAGGTGTGCACCTTATGACTCTGTCTTGTCTTTATTTATCATCAGAAATGACTTTGTTGTTTTTCCATCCCCCACTAGAGTGAAACCTCTGTGAGCATGGGGACCTTGTCTGCCATTCCCATTGGTACCTCTGCTGCAGCCTGCCTCAGAGTGAGTGCTCCGTGAGGGTCTGCTGTGGAATGAATGACCCCATTGTGTCTGAAGGCTGGCTGTCTTCATCAGAAAGCTTCCTTCCCTCTTCCATCAGCTGGCCTGGCTGACCTAGCTGGCTCAGACTCTGGCCACCCCTGGGTTCCCCTGTGCTTCCTGCACCCCCTACCCCATACCTCTCAGGTCATTACCTTGATGGCCCCCGTGGCTATCTGGATATGGTGCAGCCGACGCAGTGTGCTCTCTCTGTCGATGAAGTAGGAGGCGGCCAGCTGGTGCAGAGTCTCCAGGGACACAGCTGAGCTGTTCCCACTGCCCCCAATTATAGAGGCACCTCCTGTTGTCTCTGTCTTTCTGCCCAGTTTCCGCTTGTCCACAAAAATGGTCAGGGACTCCTCTCCTATGGTGAACAACATGAGTTCATTGGTGAGGCTCTCTGCTCTCGAATTCCCTACCAATAGAAACATAAAACCCTTGGCTAGGGTAGATGCAGCTGAGAGAGAGAGCGCAGCCCCTGCTGCCAAGCTCTTCCCCCAGCCCTTGCCATCTTTAGAAGAGGCTCATCAGAGGGAGCCACAGGCCAGCAGGCCATGCTGTCTGAAAAGCCCTCTTCCAAAGCTTAGTCCCCCTGACCTCAGCTTATCCATTTAACATCCTCTATTGAACTCTGTCTCAAGTAATCCACCTCCATAGAGGAGACACAGTTCTCTCTCTCAAGTGGTTTATGCTCCCTCAGGAAGGGCAAAAGCCTTGAAGCTCTATCTCCCTCTTCCCCATCAAACACTCAACACCTGCCCTGTGCAGACAGCTGGCCTGAGCCCTGGGAGAGCTTGTTTTGGTTGATCGGACAGTGAGCTAAATGTTATAATAAATCCTGCTTTCTTCTTCCCAGGGCAGAGGGAATTCTGCATCTTCAGAGCTTTCGATCCTGCCCCGGGTCTTAGCCCATATTGTTCCACCATACCACCACCCTCCACCCCACAAGGGGACAATTCACCAGCCCAGAACCATTGGAACTAGTTTGGATAGTTTCCAATCTTTATAGAGAGGAAGAGGAGTCAGGGACTCCAGGGACATCAACTTACTTTGCCTGTGGGTCTGATCATTGCAGCCACAGCAATCATTAGAAAGTGGCGAAGCCTCAGGGGTTAGTTAGGTGGCTCAGCAGCACAAAAACTGGGAGATCCCCCTGCTGTTAAGTGCTTCATAGGAGCCTGTCCACCCCCAACCACCTTACCCAACATCCCCTCCTCAGGAGAACCTTATAAGCAAATCGAAATGCTCTGGGGTAAATTGAGATGTCAAGAGGCTACACTGTTTTCAAACGCACCGGAAAGACTTCTCAGGCAATAAAGGCCAGTAAGAACAAAAGACTGTTGGAGCCACACTGCATGAGTCTTAAAGTTATTCCCAATGGTCTGACAACCAATTAGCTTGAAATCATGATGTTGCTTACCTCCAAGAGTGGCAGAAAGTAAGAAATGAGTGCCGTACTTTTTTATCAGGTTTTCCGTAACCTGTTGCAGATTGGGTCTCCTTCCAAGGAGGCGAATGTTCCGGATAAACTCTGGGGCAAGAGGCAATGGCAAACTGAAGAAATCCTTCCTTTCTAGAGCCAAGTTATTCACCTTCCAACGGGCAAACTCCCTGGAGAAAAAGCCAAGGGGTAAGAAAAAGCTGGTGATTTCAGAGCAAGAGGCATAAAATCTGAAGTAGGTAATGTTCTTGCTCCACTTGCAGCCATTCATCCCTCGCAGCCCACATCCCCCCAGCTGGAGGAGCCCAGAGCCTGGAAGAGGCCCCCTGGCCTCTCACCTGCAGGGCCTGGGGTTCACATGCTGTAAGAAAGCTCTATCTCCACTGACCTCCATCAGAGCCTCTCCCAGCCAACTTTCTCATCAGACAGTGGCTGATTAGCTTACTCACATGAAGTCATGGTTTACAGTGTAGAGTAGTAGAATAAACAAACACTGGAACAGTAGTTTGGAAAGATATGATCTAATCACAGTTGTCTTATAGTGAATGAGTCACATCACCTATCATGGCCTCAGTTACTCATCTGTGATGTCAGGAAGGTTGCTCCAGAACCACGGCCCTCACTTTCTAATCTCTGATCTCCTTGACGCTCTTAAAAATTATTGAGTTCCCATGTTTGTACATGTGGCTATTGAGATTTATCATTTTAGAAACTAAAATAGAAAAAATCACATTTATTACTTTATTTAGAGAAAACATTTTTTTTTTCCGGGCGTGGTGGCTCACGCCTATAATCCAAGCACTTTGGAGGCCAAGGTGGGTGGATCACCTGAGGTCAGGAGTTCAAGACCAGCCTGACCAACATGGTGAAACCCCATCTTAAAAAAAAAAAATAAATAGAGATAACATTAATAAACTCATTACATACAACATTTTCACGATAACGGTATGTTCTGAAACAAAACAAATTTAGCAAGCAGAATAGCATGGCTTTGCATGTTTGCAAATCTCTTTAATATCAGGCTTAGCAGAAAAGAGCTGCACTCTCATATTTGCTTCTACATTCAATCTGTTTTCATAATTGTGGATTTTCATCTTTGGTACTACACTAAACTAAACAGATGGTAGTTTCTTAAAGGTTAGTTACAATATGGAATCTGAAATCATATCGGTGAACTTTTCATACTTTGTTACATTAAAATCCAGTGTTCTATATTGTAATCTGAATGGATCTTTTTATCCTGCATAATGTTGTAAGATCATGTGTTGGTCATCTGGAAAATATCAGGTCACTGAGTTATGCAGATCTTCCACATTTTGACACTTTTCATTATATAAAATTACAACATCTCACTATTTAATATCATGACCAATCTCTTCAAAGTCTTTAAATATTAGGAAAATGTCAAGTTCATGAGGATGAACCCAAGTTTTCTAAAATTTGAATTTTCATTTAAAAGCTTAAATTTTATTATTGGCAACAATAATAAAAATACCGTCAGTTGTTTTCCTTGCAGATACTGGCTTAGTTAATTCTTTTTTTTTTTTTTTTTTTTTTTTTGAGAAACGTCTGCCAGATACTCAAGTCGGAATAACCATAGTTTGTCTGTTGCTTATGCTTTCAAGAAAAATGGAGTTTCATGAAAAAAGTGTCTAGTCCAGCTTGCAACTCAACCATAGAGTATTTTTTTGAGAAAACCATAGTACTTAAGTAGCCTCAGATTTGCTTTATGTGCACTTACATCCTACAAAATATTAAAACACATGTACCCAAGAGTCATGATTTAATAAAATTAATAAAGGTTACTGCTTTATGGGCATTCTTAAGTGAAGCTAGCGTGTGCGTGTGTGCATGTGTGTGCGTGTATTTAGGTGCAAGTGCACAGTGATGAAGAACACATGACTCCTAGTGTTATTTGGTGTGACTGCCTTTATTCAAATTAAGGTACCAGCAGCTTTATTTTGCACCTTCAGTGCAAATGTCAACACGAACACTCTGAAATAGACAAGGAGGATCCATATTTTGAGAAGCCTTATTCTAGAAGATAGCAAAGTTGTTCCTTTCTAATCCTGTTGAAGATTTTAATTTTCAAGCTTTGCTCCTCACTGAAATGTTTGCATTTTAAAGGGGACAGATTTATAAATCTTTGTCTTGGGATGAAATTTAAAGAATCATATGCATTAATAAGAAATGAGTTTTCCATTGTTTCTCAAATTATGCTACGAAAAACCAGCTCCACTCCCTTAGGAAGCAACAAAATGTAAAGTCTTCACACAGTCTTCATCCATCCCAACTCCGCTCATCATGACAGTGCCCAACCTTGGTTTAACCTTCCCCAAATATCCATGAAATGCAAATGAGAGGATTGCATAAAAATAAAATAATTAAAAATAGATTTTTGACAAAGGTGCCAGGAACACACATTGGGGAAAGGAAAATATCTTCAGTAAATGGTGCTGAAAAAAACGCAATATTCACATTCAGAAGAATAAAACTATCTTTCACCAGGTACAAAATTCAGCTCAAAATGGATGAAAGACTTAAATGTAAGACCCAAAACTATAAAACTAATAGAATAAGATATAGGGGAAAAGCTTTATGACATTGATGTGGGCAAGATTTTTGGAGAAGAACTCAAAAGCACAGGCAACAAAAGCAAAAATAAACCAATGAGATTACATCAAACTGAACAGCTTCTGCAGAGCAAAGGAAACAACAGAGTGAGGAGACAACCTACAGAACTGAAGAAAATATTTGCAAACTATGAGTCCAATAAGGGGTTAGTATCCAGAATATAGAAAGAACTCAAATAATAGCTAAATAACAAATTTTTTAAATGGGCAAAAGACTTGAATAGATATTTCTCAAAAGAAGACATAAAAATGGCCAGCAGGTAAATGATAAAATGTTCAACATCACTAATCATCAGTGAAATACAAATCAAATACATGGTGAGGTGTCCCCTCACCCTAGTTAGAATGGCTATTATCAAAAAAGACAGAAAATAAAAAATGCTGCTCCGTGTATTAGGGGAACTCTAGTACACTGTTGATGGAAGTGTAAATTAGTGCAGTTATTATGAAAACAGTATGGAGATTCCTCAGAAAACTAAAAATAGAACTACCATATTATCTAGCGATCTCACTACTGGGTACATATTTGAAGGAACTGAAATTAATATACCGAAGAGATATCTGCACCCTCATATTTATTGCAGTATCATTCAAAACAACCAAAATATGGAATCCATCTAAGTGTCCATCAACTGATGATATACACAATGAAATACTATTTGGCTGTGAAAATAATGAAGTCCTATCATTTGCAGCAACATGGATGAACCTGGAGGACATAATGTTAAGTAAAATAAGCCAGGCATAGAAAGACAAATACCACATAACCTCACTCATATGTAGAGTCTAAAAAAGTTGATCTTATGGAATTAGAGAGTAGAATAGTGGTTACCAGAGTCTAGGGAGGGTAGGGGGAATGGGAGATGGGGAGAGCTTCGTTAACAGAATCAAAGTTACAGTTAGAAAGAATAAGTTCTGGTGCTCTATTACATAGTAGGGTGACTATGGCTAATAATAATGTACTGCAGATTTTAAGTAACTAGAAAAAAGGATCTTGAAAGTTATCACCACAAAGAAATAATACGTTTGAGGTGATATATATGCTAACTACCCTGATTTGATCATTATTCAGTGTATGCATGTATTGAAACATCACACCAATACACTGTTGTACCCAATAGACATGTACAATTATATGTCAATTAGGAACAAAATTTTAAAAATTAAAATTATAAATACATAAAAATCCATGTCACATTTGAGGCATAAATCTCCCCATCTAACTCTAGAGACTGAGAGAGGAGGAGCATGTGTCAAATGTTACCAGGGAAACAAAGAAAAACGGGTGACTAATAATTCATGGTTCCAACAAAGTCTTCAAAATTCAAGCTGTGTAGCTTTATTTATCTGAGCAGGTAAGTGCATAATAATACATTGTCAGTTATTTTCTTTGTGGAGCAAGTACTAAACTTTAATTAATGTACAGAGTATTTGTCAAAAGTATTTTCTATCCCAAACCCCACTGCAGGGTAAAGAACAGTTGCTTAATCTCATCTCTAATTGGCTGGATGGTGACTAGTGTCCTCTCACTGGTTAGTTGATAATTACATTGATGAATCATAAAATCAGATTACTAAAAGCAAGCAAACAAGCAAACAAACAGAACCCTTAGAGTCATCAAACCCAGCCCCTTTGCTTTGGGATAGGTCACGTCTAGACTTCATTAACTAAGAATTTCTAACCTATTATTTTTCTAGATTTCTAGAGGAAAAAAGACATCATTACATAGTTTCTTACAATGGTCAAAACCCCTCACAGGAAGGAAAGGCCAACTTATCATAGAGGTGGACCCCACTTTAATTAAATCTAATAAATAAAAATTGGTAGACAGTTGTCTGGCCCGGTCAGACACTGGGTCTGGATGGGAACTAGTAACCTCTCGTGTCGTCATGTTTCTCATAAAACAGAGAGGGCAAGTGGTTTACCTAAAGCAATATAACCAGTTGATAATAGAACCAGCACCAAAAGCTAGTGTCCTGACTCTCCTTCTATGCTATTAATAGCCACTATGATGGCGGTGACAATAGTCACAACTGAGACCCAGAGAGGTTAAGAATGTAGTGTGGGTGAAGTCACACAATTAGTAAATGGCAGAGTTGTGCTTAAAACCCAGGCCCATATCATACTGCTGTTTCTATAGCACCGTTTTCCTTTGTGTACATGAGGTTAAGTGTATTTTATTGCATCCTATTTTTTGTAGTATTTAGTATCCTTTAACACAAATATTTTTATTACCCAGAATATTCCACTTTTTAAATTTTCTACACAAAACATGGACTAATTGTAATTCAAAACACAGCATAACATTTATACCACAGCAAAATGTTCCTGGATTAAGGCAGTTTTAACATGCCCATTTGCAGGAGAAGAAATTGAGACGCCTCAAAAAGCCACGCCCATACACAGGGTACATGGGAGGAATCAGAGATAAACGCCTGAGTCCCGCTCCCCTGCCTGCTAAAGAAATCACAACACAGAATGACGAATGACCTAGAAAAAGGAATGATACTGTCTAAGGAAGCTTTTTTATGAGCAAA